CTTCCGCCTCCATCCCCGCCTCCGCCCGGCGGAAGCGGCGTCACGGCGCGGGGAGCGGTTCCGCTCGGCCCGGCCCGGCCGGTGTCGGCGGCGGCGCGGGCGGAGCCCGCAAGAACGAGTCCGGCAGCAGCGGGAGCCACAAACACAGATCTTTAATGCGCTCAGACCGCGGGGAACAGCGCGGGCGCGTACAGGCACCCCGAGCCGCGCCCGCCGCCCCCGCGCCCCACACGGAGGTTACAAAAACAACACGAGAAACCGCGGAGCTCATCGTAAAAACGGACAGGGAGGGGGCATGCACCGGGACTGACAGCGGGCAGCACCGCGGGCGGGGGAGGCAGAGAGCGGAGCGGGGGGCCGGGAGCGGCAATTAGCGGCGGTAATTAACCGCGCTAACGAGCGGCAGCCCGGCCCCTGCCGCCGAGGGTGACCGGGGCCGGCACGGGCAGGCCTCCCCGCGCCCGTGGGACACCGCCCGAGGCACAGCGAGCGGCAGCAGCGGCGGCCTCCCGCGGGGACACGGCCGCTGCCCCGAGGGCACACACCGGCACGGGCTCCGAGCCGCCCCTGCCCTCGGCTCTTTGCCTGACTGGCCTTGGAAACGCAGCAGCGCTGTGGTGGGCAGGGGAGAACGCCCCGCAGGAAGCTCTGACTGCACGGTAAAGAGGCAGAAGAGCTGTGGCTGTGCCGCTCTAGAGAACACAGCCAGGCTTCCCACTGCTTTGCTCACACCAGCTCAACTGTCTGAACTGTAAAGGTACTAAAACCAGACCTGAGTTCAGCTTAGAAACATGGTTCAGCTCATCTGGTCATCCTCAAACAGCTTTCAGAATAGATCAGGGCCAAATTTTGTTTGGTTTTGCCTTAGCTGGGCAAGTGAGGCAACTCAAGTGCTGGAGACATAAAAATGAGATGGCCAAGTACTAAAAGGAAGGAAAAAAAGAAATCTGATTTTTTTTTAACATATATAAACAGAAGGACAAAATATAATTGAGAACCAGTGCTACTGGTGTGCTCACAGAGGGTCAGGTGGGTTTTTGGAAAGGGCTGAAGCGTTACAAAGGTCAGGGCAGCTCAGGGCTCCAGGCACAGCGTGACCCCGACCGCTGCGCTCGCTGCGTCGGGACAAACACGGGGTGTCCACACTGGCCTGGACTGAAAACCATCCATCCAGATTTATTTATTCCTACTAAAACAAAATCCTGTTAAACAGTACGTAACTCTTGTGTCTCTACAAACTCACAGCTATCTGCCAAACAATAAAAATCCCAAACTACAAAAGATGAGTTGTATTCAGTAAATATAAATGGGAAATTTAGGCTTTGTGTAGAATGTTTATCAGACTATTTACAGTGCAACACAGATCGTTTGAGTTCAGATCTCTCCAGCTTCTCTCTCTTCTGACCTCTTGGAACGAGATTTGCCATTTGTGCTCTCGTGCCGCCTCTCAGAAGAGCTCTTCTCTTTCCTCTCTCTGTCTCGGGACTTTTCCCTTGAAGATCGATCTCTAGAAGATCTGCAGTACAAAGTAAACCATTTCTATCAGCTTCACAACTAAAAATTGTCAAATACCCACCGAGCAGTACCTTTCCCTGGCAGGGCTGTGGGATAAAGTTCCCTACAGGAACGTGCCTGGGTGCTGTGCCACGGGCAGTGGGTCCCCATGACAGCAGCTCTGGGCCTCTGCGAGGTTTCTGTGCACAGCACACCTTTGTTCCTCCTTCCTCTCAGTGATCCTTTCAAGCTGTTGCCACAGGGGCTCCCTCAGGTCTTCCCTGTGCCCCTCATTATTTTTCTGGGCCATCCTGAAGTGCCTACAATTTTTTCCTTGTCTTTGACTCAGCTCAGTTCATGGCTTCCAGAGCAGGTTTTCATTACCCCCTAAGCTACTGGCTTTCTGCTCAACTGCTCTAAATACCAACTGGATTCTTTGCTGGCTCAGCCCTGGGCTTCTCACTTTGCATCCTGACAAATGCTGGCTTTGGCAGCATCCTGGGTTCAAAGTCAGGATGATACAGGTTTATATTCACAGCCCACAGCACAGGCACATCTTTTCACAGCCACAGATTTTCAGCAGCAGTTCCCGTGTCAGCCCACGCAGAATTAAACAGGAGGCTTCACATTAGGTCTAATCTGAAAGGCTGTTTCTTGTGTGATTCCTGCCAGCTTAGGGAATAGCAGGATTCAAAAGGAGCTGACCCTGAGGGAGCTCAGCAGAGGCTCCTACATTTTACTTCAAGGCTCAGCACACAGGGTTTTTTACAGTCACAACAGGAGGTACCTTAGAGGTTCTACTTTCATTCTTGTTGATTTTAAGGCTTGAAAATACTGCAAAATCGATACATCAAAACCCAACAGCCATTTCATTTTCATTAAACTGTGTCATTTAACATCAGGCTGTCTGATGACATCACCTCTCTACCTTTTCCACAACAATGCCTGCTGCAAGCAGACCTCCTACCCTGAGCTCTCCACATCCTGTGCTACTCCCTTTCTTTCAGCAAGTGACACCTCAGCCCAGCAGAACCTGAGAGCAGATTTCATTAACTCTCTTTCAGGAAGCAGGGTTTTGCTGTTTGTTCTCTTGTTTTTGTTATGTTTTCTGACACTGATCCTGGCCTGTCCCCAGCTCTCAGCAGCTTTGTGCAGGTGTGTCAGCTGGCCAATGCCCTGCAATCTCAATGGGCTGGTTTGGATGTGTTCAGGGGTTCCGAAGTAATCCCTTACCTGCTCTTTAGTAATAGTTATTACAGGATCTTCCTCACTTCCTAATTGTCCAAACTTCTTTTCTTTATTTTTCATGTTCAAGACAGATTTAAAAAAGCACTTTAGTATCTCAGCCATTGGAGAATTAACAGTATTTACACCCCCCCTCAATTATTAAGACTTATTTTTCAGACCATTATTTCCCTCCCCTTCACCAGGTATCTTTAAAAGAAAAGCTGTTCCTACCCCTTAGCTAAACTGACACAAGACACACAACAATAGTTTTGTTTCTAGATTTGTACTTGAGTGCTGGTGCCTTATCAGGTGACAGTGCTGAAGCACTTCCCTATTAACTAGGAGACTTTAAAAAAATCCAGATCTAACCTCAGCAAGCACCTGGAGGCAGACTTGCTCCTGGGCTTAGAAGGGTTGTAAGTGAACATAGTGATTCCAGTCAATTTTTCTAATATCCTACACACACTTGTCTCCTTCTTCTTCTAACAAAGAGGCTGTTTTGCTGAATTTCAGAAAAACTTTAAGCCTTTCTTTGGACTACAGTGGTTCTCCTCAGAGACATAAGAATGGTATACTCCTCCTGTATTTCTTTTTCAGGAGGAAGAAGTGCTGATTCCTAAAGAATTCTCTCTCTCTCAAACAGCCTTCTAACAGAAGACTCCCCCCCGATCTCAAATCATAGACTCCTTCCCAATGCCAGCCCTTAGAGAAGGAATCTGGGAAGCAAAAAATAACTAGAGAAGTATAAGATCCAAACTGCCTCCCAAGCACTTGGCTTCTACAGCCCCAGGGAAGCTCAGTTAGCTCATTGAAGCTTCGTGCTGCTTCCCATCCAAGGAGCATCTCAAGGCTCAGCAATGCAAATCAGGGAATCTGTTCTATCTCCCAGACTCTCCTCTCAGCTGGGATCTTGCTGTACATTTGCTGCCCTCACGTGAGGCCACTGGGGAGTCCTGCTTTGGCCCAGGAGCTGGCCCAGGCCAGCCCAGCTGCTCTGGAGAACCCTGCCACGCTCCTGCTCGCTCTACGGCCAGGGAGGTCACTGTGAGCCAAGGACTCCCTTTCCAGAAGCACTCCAGGCGGGAATACCTACTTGTGTTTGGAACTCCTGTCTCTGGAGCCCCGGCGGTGGCCTCTGCTGTGGCTGCGGGAGCGGCTCCGGTGGCGCCGGTGCCGGTCCCGGGAGCGCGAGCGCGACTTCCGCCGCTCCCGGGAGGCCGACCTGGAGCGCCTCCGCCTCCGCTCGCGGGAGCGCGACCTGCGGGGAACACACACGGGCTCAGTGCCCCGCACTGCACCCCCAGCTGCCCTCAGCCTCTCCTGAGGAACACCCAGAGCATCAACAGAGTCCAGCCCCAGCCCCGCATCCCTGCCCACACCACACCGCGGGCAGCTGCCTCCTCCCGGGCCTTGTGCTGCCAACAGAACGCCAGTGGGTTACGCACTTTGCTGGGAAGCTTACAGAAAAGGATCCCACCATTATTGTAAGCACATGGCAAGGGCCAGAGCAGAGCTTACAACCCTGCATTGCTCACAAGTGAGGCCCGTATAAGTAGAAGAGAGGCCAAAGGAAGTGGCCTGTGATATTACCATAACTCTAAGAGAATCTTCCTGGAGATTCTCTTAGGGTTATGGTAATATCACAGGACACTTAAGTCAAAGTCCTGCACTTTAGAAGCAGATTTATTTCACCCTGCTCTAAAAATAAGAAAGATGCCATAGGAAATGAGTAGGCAGGGAGATCTCCAGGTCCATTATCACAGAGAATGTTGCCATAGCATTAAGGCAAGCTCTTCCCAGAGCTGTGGGGGGTTTTAATCTCAAATCTCTGTATTTTCACATCTGAGGTATTATATATACAACAGATACTTCAGACCTTACAATCATGAAAGCATATCAGGTATTTATGGAAAGAGGCCTTGGGGACATCCATGGGCTCACACTGGAGCACACAGAGCCCATCCTGGCCAGGCTACTCAGCACCTGCTCTACAGCCCCACGAGCCACACCAAGCTGAGCAGCACCACTGAGCTGCCCACACTGCACTTCCCATCTCTTTCAGGGAGCAAACCAGACACTGAGACCCAGGAAAAACCTCAGTAGCTAGAGAGAAACACAAACAGGCATTTGGGATAAGTGCAGAACTGGGCACTCACCTTCGACGATCTCTATTTCTTGATCCAGACCTAGAAAGGAGAGGAGAGTTAAGTGAGAGAAGTTATGATACAGCCAGTGGGTTTTCAATAAG